GCAACAGCGGTTCGAGTCAGCCCGAGCTGAGCAGCCGTGAGCTGCCAACAGGTGGCAGGATGGCTCAGCTAAAAAAAAAAAAAAAAAAAAAAGAATAAAGACTAGAAAGGAGCTGGGAACGAGAAGCCAATTCAAAATATGCTTACCTTTCAGTGCTTTAAAGTTACAAGAGGTATTGTTACAAATGTTATCTGAGTTTCCTAGAGACTAGAATTGTTTGAGACAACTCATCCCCAATCCTTTGTGATGTGCTTACCTCAGGAAACAGGCCTTCTAGCTGACCTCCAAGCCACCATCTACACTGCATGGAATTGAGTCTCCTTCATTGGAGAATCCAGGAACTGTTTTTCTTGCAGTTTTTTGGAAACCTTCTTGGATTTGGTAATTTAAAATCTGATACAATTTATCATATGTTACCCCACCGTCTCCTCCTTTGCTTGTTGTGTATTGGTTGTGGTTACTTGCATACAACAAGAAAGTTTCAGGGAAAGTGAAGTTACAAAAGGACAATTAGTTTATGGGGAAGGACAAACCATTGCATTGGGGAATTGATTGGAAGACATTTTGAAAGTCTTATGTTATCAATTTAATTATGTGTTTCTATGTAGTAGTGAGTGTCTTACATTGATGCCAAGAATATTTTGAAAGGATTTTGTTACAAGTATGTAGCAACTCACTTTTGATATATTACTGCTAATAGTGTTAACAAGTTATGAAGCATACAAGGCCAGGTTTAATTATTGCCAAAAAAGTTAGTTCATTGCAAAATATCAGATTAAAACTGTAGGTGTGGGACAGGGAGGTAGAGGTGAGGACCAATCAAAGGAAAACCACAAATGCCTTTTTTGTAAAGCGTGATGGGGATAGGACAGAACAGGGTAGGGAGTGCTGAGAGCCCTTTCAAACTGATACTTTTTGGGGTGTGTGTGAGTGTAAATATAAATGATGAATTAATTTAAAATTGGGCTGACTGCTGCTCTGCACTGTATGGTGGCGCCCATGGGCTCAAACTAATTGTACAGAGGTGTTCTTGTTTTCTGACTTCATACACAAACCATTACCCGTGATTATTCCAGGGTACCCTTTTGCAAAAAAAATCTTTTTCCAAGTCATGAAAAGAGAGTGTTTGAGGCAAAGGCACCTACTTTATAACGTGCTGTTAGCATTAACATCAAGCATGGAGAAGCCTGTGTTGGAAGTCATCCTCCAGGACTCACAAACTTGTCCTGGTGGCCCACGCCGCCACTCTCCTTCCCGGGACGGCTAGGCTCCTAAAGAGTGGTCCCACCGCTCCCAGACCCCAGCTCTGGGCTGGAGCGAAGCGAGGTGGTCGGTTCATTGTTCTCCTAGGCCCAAGGAGAAGCGCCCAGGGTAGCGGCACGTCTGGGTCTCTGGGAGACGCCTGCTGACTGCGGCTGTCTGGACTGAGGATGGGGCTTGCACACCGCGGCCTTGCTTTCCTAGAACGGGACGCTCCGCGGACACTCCCGTCGCCTCCGCGCGCCCCGCGAGCCCGCCCGGCGCGCAGCGCACCCCAGCGGCCGCGTGGCCGCCTTCAGGCTGCGGCCACCGCGCTTCCGGAGAGCTCGCCAGTCGCCGCCGCGGTCGCCTCGGGATCAGGGACCAGAGAGGCTGCGGGGACCGGGCTGGGCGGGACCCCAGGGAGGCGGGGGCTACGGTACCCGCCCCGCCCGCCACACCTGGAGCCGGGGACCCGGAGAGGCGGGGCGGGGCTGCGCGCTGGCCCGGCGCCGGAGCAGCTCGCCGGAGCGGCCCGGACCTGAGCGGGGCGAGGGGGAGGGTCTGCAGGCCGAGTCCGCGGCTCGGGGACGGGACCCCGCACCCGGGGGGACGCCGGCCCCCGCGAGGCGCACCGGCGCGCGGCGCGGCCATGGAGCGGGCGGGCCCCGGCTGCGCGCGGCCGCGGGAGCGGGACTCGGTGGAAGCGTGGCTGGACGACCACTGGGACTTCACCTTCTCGTACTTCGTTCGGAAAGGCACCAGGTAAGAGGAGGGCCCGCGGCGGACCCGGGGCGGGTCTGCGCCCCCGTGGCACTGCCCCCTCCCCGCGCCGCTCCCCAGCCTCGGCGCCTGGGCCTCGGCTCTCGAAGTGGGTCCCCGGACCGGTGACGGTGCAGAGACCTCGACTTCGGGGCGAGTCCGGTGGAAACACTGGGACCCGGTCCAGTTTGCCAAGTTCAAGTACAAAACCGTCCGCGCCGCCCCCGGCAGCCCGGCACTGCCCGGCGGCGCGTCCCCGTGCACCCGCGCCCGCGGGCCTCCCCGCGTCCCCCCACCTCCGGGGGCCCCCCAACCCCGGCGACACCAAAACAGTTTCAAGCCCCTGCCCCGCGGCTCCGGAAGCACCGTCTCCAGCCTGGTCCCGGCGGCTGCGCTCCTCCCCCGTCCCCATCGCCTGGGCGGGGAGCCGGGGCGGAGGCGAGACCGCGGGGAAGCCCCGGGCGGCCGCGTGCGGGAGCCTTCCCGGGGTGAGTGCTGG